TATAATTTTGTGAAGGGGAAATGAAAGAAAAGGCAATTGAATGGATGACAAATAGAGGCAGTGAAACGAATGAAAAAGAAAGAGGAGAGAGAAAAAGACAAAGTAGAAAATGAAATAAAATACAAAATGAGAAAAAGTGAATAACTTAATAGTCAAAGATTCTAGTGTATATAATGAAGAAAAAACTCTCTCTCCCTCCCCAACCCTAGCAAGTTTTGTGGCGAAATGAAATGGTTAAAGATCAATACTAGAGGGAGAGAGAGAGAGAGAGAGAGTATATATATGAAATAATATATATAAATGAAAAACAAGAAAGAAAAAGAATGCGAGAGTGAAAAAGGAGAAAGAAAGAAAGAAATTTGAGGAAAGACAAAGAAAAGAAATGGAACAGAAAATAGAGGGCCAAAAAGAGAACGAGATTAAGCGAGAGTAGAGAGGAAGAGTCATAGAAAGATAGATAAACGGAACAGAGAAAAGGAAAGATGTAAAGAATGTGAAGAAAAGAAAAAAGAAAAGCAAATAAAGAAAGAAAGAAAGAAAGACAGAGGAAAGAAAGAAAGAAAGAAAGCAGAAAGAGCCTGGTGAAATGATGAAAAGAAAAGAAAAACATGGGAAAGGTCGAGAGATGGAGAAAGAGAAAGACAAGCATAAAAAAGTAAGAAGACAAAGAAAGTTACCAAAAGAAAAACAAAAGAAAAGTGGTGGGACAAATAAAAAAGAGCTAGAGAAAGAGAGACGACAGAGAAAAAAGTGATAGAAAGAAGAAGATATAAAAAGAGTAAAATGCAAGAACGATGTAAAGCTAGCGAGGAGATAAGTGAGGAGGAGGAAGATAAAGAATTATTAAAAAAATAAAACGAAAAAAAAAAAAAAAAAGAAGAAAGAGAGAATAAGAAATAGTGAAAGAGAGAGACTAAGAAAGAAAGAGAGAGAGAAAATAGAGAGAGAGAGAGAAAAATATATAAAAATATATGGAACGTAATGAAAAATGTAAGAAAACCATACTGGAAATGTGCATTGTGGGTGCTAAAATATTTCGAACTGTTACTGGGAGTCAGTGTTCAGGAAGCGTTCAAAGCTGGAGTTTTGTACGCTGATTTTCAAGCTAGATACCCCTCGCCTGTAGGGCGAGCAGAACACAATCTTTCTACCCCTTCTCCTTGTTTGAGGGGGTGAATATGGAGTATTAATCAAAGATAATAAATGTTGAAAATATAAGAGAAAACATGCAAACTAATGATAAAATGTTTCAAAAGCGGAAGAGAGAGAAAACGAAAATACTTTTAAAAATACGTGGGAGAAATTACGAGAAAAAATAGAAAAAAAACAAAAAAAAAAACAGGAAAAATAGACAAAGATGAAAAAGGGGTGTATTATAAGAGAAGATTATACTAAAAATATAAAGGGGAGGTAATTCACAGAAATATAAAGAGATAGATGAACATCTAATTACACACAGAGGCGCGCGGACACACACACATATGGAGAAAAAAAAAAGAATGACAATCACGTGTAAAGGAAATAAAAGGTAAAAAAGATTGTGCGCGTGTGTGACCAAAAGTGAGGGAGTGAAAGTAAGAGAAAGTGAAGGACCCATGTCAGTTGAAGAAACAAATATTTATAAAAACTGAGATCGTAGATTTTACAATATAAAATTGTTGTGATTGCTGAGGAACAGATTTTCCTTAGAAAGTTCATTGCTTGTCGTTTTCTCTTTTTGCAATATTCGAAATCGGTCATGTTTTTTTTAATGTTATGTGCATTGAGGACGTAGGCGATCACGGTTCTCCACAGATTCCTTTTTGTTATCTGGTAACTTCTAGAATTTCTTTGAAATATAGTGGAAGAATTTCTTGTTGTCCTTTCTACGATTTTGAATTCAAAATTCTCCTTGACTTTCTTTTTTCTTTCTTTTAACCATTTCACCTCAAGCAAGGCAATAAAGCCTTGAGACGCAAGAGGTTACTGTATACGAGGGACACTTTATTAAGGAGAGAAAACAATAAAAGAATAAGAATTAAAAAGACAGATAACGATTGACATTGCATTTAAATTTTTAAAGATCGATGTTGTCTGGGAAGCAAGATGCCGTAAGAGAGTTCCACAAGTAACAAGTTCGAGAGAAAGAAACTGTTAACATGTAACTTACGGTTACATTTAACCATTTTAACTGTAAAATGATGAGACCCTGCCACCAATCTAGTACCACGCTTCATGAAGTCTATGTACAATAGAGTACCATAGGTACCATAGAGCAAAGTTCATCAGAACAATTGCCAAGAAAGTATTTATAGAAACAGTATTGAGAAGCTACCTTGTGGTAATGGGAAAGTAACTGAAGCCGAGATGCCAGGTTAGGACCAATAACATTGCTGATTCTTGTTTGAATTTCATCAAGAATCTCTAAACATAGCAGAAACACCAGACTGGTTATCTTTCTTTTTCCTTGATTCAAGGCTAGAAATTCCAGTCTTCACTTATGTTGATTTCAATTTCAGAACACTTGATCAAATAGTTAAGTATCAAACCTTGTAAAAACATTTATTTTGTATTTTTAGAATATGGTCGAACCGAGAAATTGTCAGCACAATTCATATATATATATATATATATATATATATATATATATATATATATTATTTTACAATTGGAATTAAGATATCTTTAGTGAATGACCATTTTCACCAACGAATTTTAATTTTGAAATTCATAGGTGAAGGTCATTAACTAAAAAGGTATCTTAATTTCAATTGTAAAGAAAATTTGCTCTGTTTAATGAAAATAAACATTGAGCGCTTTTTTTTGAGTCAGTTTTAACATATTTCAAATTCTATGTTGTGTTAATAGAACTCGCCTGTATTATACGAACGGGTTACTACCTATATATATATATATATATATATATATATATATATATATATATATTGTCATGACAGAATAGAATTTATACTTAATATCACGGTTTCAGGTGAAGATTTCATTATCTTTGTCTTTCCATTTATAGATAAAGATTTGTCACACAAAAAAAAAAAAAAAAAGAAAAGGAAAAAAATGCAATATCTTTTTCATCTTCTTTTATTTCACTATGGAACCTGAATTAGCATTTTATCGTACCTACCAATTTCGCCAATCTCAGTCCCAGACATTTTCTGCAATCTAAAAATAAATTAGCTCACAGCCTCTAGAATCTCACCCCGTACAAAATCTATTGTTAAAAAAGATAAATTCGAACTTGCATTTTAGAACCAATGAAAACAATAGTTTATATCAACCCTCAAAAAACAGTCTTTTGGAGCCTATTTGATACATTAAATAGAAATGACAAAAATATTCTTCAGTAGCCCCACAAAACGCGAAACCATAATAATTCTCTGTGCATAATATTCTTCCTTTCAAGAAGTCTTTCTACAAGAAATTCCATCTTCGAGACTACTTATTTCAGTTAACAGTGACTAACTACAAAACAGAACAACCTGAATTACATATAAAGGGTGTTTCATTAAGACGGAACAATGTTAGCAGTAAATAGATCAGTGTTATTGGTGAAAATTTATTTCTCTATTGGATCATGTTATTTAAGTCATGGCAATTATGTGTGAAAAATAATATCGCCCAAATGTCCGCCAAGGCTTCGGCGGCACACCTCCACTCGATGGTCAAAATTTTTGATGACGTCTCTGCATAGTTGCTCCTCGATCTCACTAATATGCCTTATTATCTCATCCTTCAGCTGTTGAATTGTTGTTAGCATAGACCTTACTTTCGTGATGACCCCAAAAGGAAGAAATCTAAAGGCGCACGATCGTGGTGGCCAATTCACTTCGCTGTTTCGAGAGATGATGCGACCTGGAAACTTCTCACTCAAATTCTGTTTGAATGTCCATTTTCATAATTGGCTTCGATAACTTTAACACGCTGTTTGATTGTTAATCCTTCCATGGTTAGAAATTGCCAAAGACTTAAGTTGTTAAAAAAAAAGAAAAAATCATTAGACGCTTAAAATAAATTCACATTTAAAATCGGTTCAAGTTATTGGAACACTATTTAAAACAAATTTTCATATTCGCAGTCTTAGCTTTCTTTCCATAACGTCTACTTTAAAAATGGAGCTTTTTTATAAGTTAAAGTCATTTTTTTTACAAACATTTTACAAACTTCCGAAATTTCAAAGCAATTTTCCACACTCTGTAACTTTCTTTAATATTCCTTTATGAATTTGTTGTTCTTTGTTTCGCAAAACTTGAATTGTCTCGCCTAATTTCTACATCGGCGACTTAGTTTATCTACCCCTCATTTTGTGTTCACTTAAATAAACCACAGTCGTTGTTTCATTCTCATCAAGGCAACTAGTATGAGTAGAAAGTAGGCATTTTGTTAAAAATTTAATCTCGCTGACCAGAGAGTGAACTCGATCCTCTCTGGGTGCAATATACATCTTACTTCATAAAACAGTATTTACAAACCGGAAGAGAGTTAAGCATGGAAAGTTCACGTGACGAGAACACATTCTTGAATTTTGTTAAATAGAATGCGAATTTTATTTTTTTTCCATTTGTAAAAGAGGTGAATTATCTTTTAAAAAATTATTTTTAGAAGAAAAAAAATGAGAAATTAATTTTCTCTGAGGATAATCCCATGGGTAAATTTTTTAGGTTGGAAAATTTTTACTTAAGTCTCCGATATATATTTTTTTTTCAAAAAATTACTTTACCGCTCAAGGCACAAAGAGTTGCTGCACACCGAACTAATCGAGGTAGAATGACTATTTTTACTTTATCCAAAATGTTTGGTTTCCATTGGACTATTTCTCTTTAGAAGTACGTGTGTGCGCATAGGCGCGTTTCTTTTTCATCGTTCGGCTTTGTACATGGAAATGTATTTTCTTCGAGGGCTGACGAAAGGTTACATAACAAAACCCTGGTCACCATAGCGACTTCCTGCAGAGGGAGATGACGTCACTGCACGCATGTTAATGCAGATATGTTTTTAAGCTTCAAGAGATGCAGAAACTCATTCTCAGTAGGTGACGAAGACATCAATGATTTAATAAAGTGCGTACACACACACACACACGTACACACACACAAGCACACACGCGCATCTATCTAAAGAGCGAGAGATATATTAGGTCGATGAAAGAAATACCAGAGATAAAAGAATAACAATGATAATAATGATAATGTAGAAACTATTCGTTGAGTATGCCTATATTCCTATTTAAACCTGATTTTTTTCAAAGCATTTCACTCCAAGCAAGGCGGGATGTCGCGAACACGCAAAGCGTTATAGAAAGTGGGAGCGAGAGTAAAGAGGCGTGATAGAGGAAAGGATGAAGAGAAGGCTAGTCAATAGACCAAGGCATGTGGAGATGTCAATTGACATTACATTTGAATAGTTGGAGATTATAGCTATCAGGGAAGCAATTAATAGGAAGGGATTTCCACAGACGGGAGGTGCGAGACATGAAGCAATTGAAGTAGAAGAGACGACCACATTTAGCAGTTTCGACAGCGAAAGGGTGGGATCGAGATGCCAGCCTAGTTGCACGTTTAAATTCGTGCAGTCTGGGAACTAGCGAAAACAGCTCGTCGGAGCAGTTACCGTGAAATTAGTAGTAGTAAAGATAGAAAGAGGCGATGTCACGTCTGTGAGAGAGCGACTGTAGACGAGATGCCAGATCAGAGTCAATCACATTGCATATCCGTCTCTGGATTTTGTCGAGGACCTTATGACGAACAGCGGGAGCACCAGACCATATAACTCTGTGAAATTATTTAAAAAAAATACATTTTCTTATATCCTCAAGTGGAACTCATACATACGATCCATCTCTAAAGAAATGGACAGTTCTCTATATTCCTCCAGTAAGTACCTGACTTCTCTTGCTATGTTTTACCTTTTCAAGAGCCAGATCAGGCCTGAAATGGAATAATACATATGGGCAGGAGCTGTCCAGTCTCGTTAGACTTCAAAAGCGTCTCCGCCTTCTTGTGGGTGTCGAATTATTTCCCACCCTAAAACTCCTTTCTTACAGACGAAACGTTGCTCTTCTCCTATCTATCTATCTATCTATCTATCTATCTATCTATCTATCTATCTATCTTACTAATATCTATATATATTTATACTACTAATAAATCAACATATATTTATATAGGTACCTCTACGAAAGCGCTAAAAAACTAGCATACCGTGATGAAAACATGCTTCAAACATAATGAAAACAGTTTTATCGTCAAAATCGATATGCTGTTATTAAGAGGAAGTATCAAAGTTTTTTTTTATCATTTAATTAAATTTTTTACTCATTTTTAGAACATTCGAAATTTTGATTAAAAAACTTGTTTTTCTAGCATCAGCGGATTTACTAACTTTTAGCATAGTAAATTTTAACCTCTTTTTTCGGTGAATATATTAATTTAGAAATTCTCGCAAAAATCAATTAATTGTCGGATTTTAATATTTTCAGGACTTATTCACAAATGAATGAAATTTTTTTATTAGAAAATCTTGGTAAAAATATTTTTTTTTACATATTTTTCATTCCCTGATTTAATTTTATGAAAACTTGAAAAATTCAACGAGACAATTTTTAGTGACCATATTACTTAAAAGCAAAATATTTTGAAGAATTTAAATCAAATTTTTTGCAAAATTGGACCACGTCTTAAGGAAAATCTGATCTAAATCAAAAAAATAAAAAACGCAGTTAAACTAAGACATTATTTAATTAGAGAATCTTTGAATTGCTTTTATGAATAATATATATTAAAGACAATATTGTCTGAAGAAAAAAATTTGATGAAACTGAATTTTACAAGATTTGTTTACATTTTTTACAATTTAAATTGAATAATTTATAAAGTTTTTAAATATTTTAAAATTAATTTTCAGTGTGATAATCCTTAGGGAATGTTGTTATTAAGGGAAACTATATTTAATAATCATATATTATAAAGCTTATTACAATCTGACGACCCTGAAATAGAATTTCGATTTGTTTTTATATGTGTACATACGTGCAATATGGCTGTTCAAACTTCATATTATCATTAAAAGGTCACGTGTTTTAAGGGTTGTCCTCACTTACGGGAAAAAATCTTCATGTAAACTTTATCATCTGCTCCATCATACTTAAGCATGAAGACGTTTGGCGGTCATTCGGCAGTGAATAAATCGATTAACACGTCAGAAAAACAAGACCCCGTGGTTAAGAAAGCCTTGCATACTTCATTTTATGCTATAAGTAAGTAATATTTTTTCAAATCATATCAATTTAACTTTAAATTTGATAATTTTCTTCAAATCATGTTTCAGAAATATATATTTTATTTTTGTAAGATTTTTAAAACTGAGAATTAACCTTTGTTTACAAATGTGCCAAAACGGCCGATTTTATCAATTTTACTGGAAAAAATCGATTCCGGCCAATATAGTTTCTGTTTGAAATACACCGCAGGATATTTTGCTTGCTGGAAAAATTAAATTTTAAATCCTTTAGCTTTTAATTAAAGCTAAAATGAAACCTTACATATAGTGAATTATTAGCTTTATCAACACTGCAAAAGTGGGCAGCTGAATTTAGGCGGTGAAGGGAGAGACTTGAAGATAACCCAAAGTCTGGACGTCTTACGACTGCCAGCACCGTAGAAAACATTGATCGTGTTCACCAGATGGTGATGAATGACAAACAATTGATTACAAATCAAATAGCCAATGTTATTAGAATAAAGTTGAGAATATTCTGCACAATGAACTTGGTATGACGAAAGTTTCTGATTTGTGCCTACCACGACTGATTAAGCATGATCAAAAGCGTACTAGGCTGATCACATCACGGGAAGATCTGACATTGTTGGAGGCAGATTCACCTTGTTTCCTTGAGCGTTTCATAGCCCAGTATGAGTGTTGGGTTCATCATTTTGAGCCAGAGACAATACATGCAGAGGAAACACTACTTTTCACCTGTTCCAAAGAAGGCCAACGTCGTTTCATCTGCTGGGAAGGTGATAGCTTCAGTATTTCGGGATGCAAAAGGCATTCTGTCTATTCAAAATGGCCACGTCATCAATGGAGAGTACTATGTAAACTTGCTGAGACAGTTACAAAAGGCTATCAAGTCCAAACGACCAAAAAAGAAAAATGACGAAATGGACCTTGTCAGTTTACTCGAAAAGAAACAATGCCGTTATTAATAAGAAGAGTTGAAATTAATGCATGCAAGACTTCACAGCTCTCGTCTCATAGTCAGCCTATGCACTTTTCAGCCAACCCTCCTATTTTTCAATTCACTCCTGACGATTGAATCGTGCATGAAAATCAGAGTTGTGCTAATGGAGAGGAGCAAAATTATTTATTAGTAGTATAAATTTTAGCTCTGTTATATATCGAGCATTGTTTTGTTATTACCAGTGCTCATTCTGCGCTACTTTACACGCACACACACACACACACACACACAAACAAACATATATATATATATATATATATATATATATATATATATATATATATATATATATATAGGCGTAGTAAATTGTAACAAATATTCTGGGTGTTCAGTTTTATTTTCCATAAATCTATCTATCTATCTCTCTTCCTCTCTCTTCCTCTATCTCTTTCTCTATCTATCTATCTATCTATCTATCTATCTATCTATCTATCTATCTGTAATACTATTAATTCTGACTTGAATTTTTTTATACTAATTCTGTATATATGCCGTATCATTTTCGAAGTTTTCGAATCTGCAGGGTCATCATTTTGACAAGTCGCCAAGTATTTAGCCCTTATCGAACTGGCTCATTGAAATATTCGCCATTTAAATCTCGTATAGATGTTAATTTTGTCTGATCAAGTGAAAAGCTGTTTAAGTGGTTGTATTTCTGGTACCTGTTGCCATGTTTAATGTTCTTAACCTCTGCTCTCCCCATCAACTGACCTCTACTGCTGTTACTGTTCACTATTGTGCTTGCTGTTCGTTTCGAACTCTATCATTCCAGGATGTCAATTTTCCAACGTTGTCATCTATTTCCCGCTAAAGGAGCTAAAATGTGCACACGTTTCTACGTCATGAGTCAAAATCATATTTGAAGTGTAACTTATTTGCATAATTCCGTCAAATATTATTGGTTTATGAAGCAGAATCAGCCGAATATATATGTGAAATTCTCACATGGGAGGCACTTGGCTCCCCGTAGATAAATACCATCCAAAGGAGAAACTAGGGAAAAAGTTCAATCATATGAATAAATCATAATTATAAAGGTGAAAAAGGACTAGATGCTAATTCACAAAGGGGGAGGTAGTGAGGGAACCTGGGATCGAAAGGGGATGGCATAAGACACTAAGAAGCATTGGTTTAGACTAAAATGGACTCTTTTTAAGTGCAGCTTTTTCTCACACTGTAAGGCAGCTTAATGACATCATTGTCATTAGAGTCGTATTTTTCTATCGATTAAAGCCGATTTCTATCTTTTGCACTCCACCCCTCCCCCTCTCACTCTTTCTCTTGTCTTAATCTGTTCTTTGGTACGCTAGATTATTCAACTCATTGTTTAGAATATATATTGACCGCAAGGTAAAAAAAAAAACAAGAAAAGCACAACGAAAACAGAAAGAATAAATCTGAACAAAGCTGTTCAACGAGCGAGAAGACAAAAGATCGTATAAGAGACAAAGGAAAAAAAATGATCCGTAGAAGCCATGTGAATGATTAATTTCAGAAATGTAAGGCAAAGACAAATGAGTAATTATATATAATAATAATAATAATAAAAATAATATATATATATATATATATATATATATATTAAATGAAATATAGTCTAAAAAAACTAATAATGGAAATATTTTAAAGATGTAATTAAAATTGTAGTTCATTAAAATGAATTCTAACCTAAACTTCTTTTAAATTGTAATTAAATAAATAAATAAAGTGTACTAAATCAGAGAAATGAATTAGCTATTTTTGCCGTAAGGAAAAAAAAATTACTTAAAA